TCTTCCACCTTGTTCCTTGCAGTCAGGACAGTTCAACGAAGACATGATCCCGACGGTGGGCTTTAACATGAGGAAGATCACCAAGGGGAACGTTACCATAAAGGTAAGGTGCAGATGGAAGAGCCAGTGCGGGCTCTTGGGATGAAAGGTGGGGTGAAGGGAGACTGGTGGGACTTCTGCTGGAGGTTGAAGGGTGCCAGCAGCCCCAGCTGGGGCTGGGAAGATCTGCCCTGTTAGGATTCTGCAGGTACCCACCAAGAGAGTGGTGGTACCAGTGGGTACCAGTGGAGATGGTGGGAAGGGATGTAGGAGATCCAGACCTCTGCAGTAAGAGCCAGACCGGGCTGCAAAGCTGGAGGTTTTCTTGTACCTCTGGCTTGCTGGTGGGGACTCGTGGTGTGGTTACCTTGCTGAGGGTGGGAGCAATGAGAAAAATAGGTCATGGCTTGCAGCGGTGGTCTCTGCCTCAAGAGCAAAGGGAGAAGAGATTTCTGCCCCTTCTGGATCTTTCCAGGGCCCCACGTTGGACTGGGAAATATGGGTGGGATGGGCTTGAAAAGCTGATTGGGGATCTCTGCCTGCTGCAGAAATGTTTCCGAGAGCGTGCTGAGTGTTCTGAACTGGCAAATGCATCAGTGAAAGGCCAGGAGGGGTGGAGGGCATGGGGAGGAGCCCCCAGCCAGGGGGTCCCTCCATGCCAGCAGAGGCACGATGCCCTCCAGCTGCCCTTCCCAAGATGTCTCCTTTCGTTATCGAGTCGGGAGCCTCCTCGTTAGGTTTGGGATGAAGAGGAGGGGATGGGGTGGGTTTGGTGTGTGCTGGGTTCTCTGGCCGGGAGGCCACGTGGAGAAGGGTGATGGGCAGGACGGTGGGGTAGCGGGCAGGATGGTGGGGTAACCGCTGCCCTCTCCCCATCACAGCTCTGGGACATCGGTGGCCCGCCCCGGTTCCGCAGCCTGTGGGCCAGCGGGTGGGGGCACGGTCCCATCACCCCACCCAAGGGTGCTGAGCCCCGGGAGCTGCGGTGCCTTTGCTGCCAGAGCTGGACGCCCGTGTTGGGAACTGAGATGCTTCCCCCTGGGACTGGTGTCCCCGTGGGCTGTGAGCACAGGGCAGCCAGGTCCCCGCCGTCCCTGGCAGACCCTTCCCTTCCAGCATCTCTCGGCCCAGCTCTGTTCCTCAGACCTTGCCTGTCCTGCATCCCCTGCGCTGCCTGTTCGTCGCAGGGGCTGAGCGAAGGCCATCGGTGGGGCTCGGCCCTTGCCAAGAGGCTGCTTTGGAGGGTGGCTGCCAGCAGCGTGTTTCCAGGTCACAGTGTTTATGTGCTGCCGGATGAGTCTTGTGCTGAGAGAGAATGAGTCCCCCTGCAACGCCCGCTGCCGACGGCCGGCAAGGCTCTGAGTGTCCCCGCATGTCCCCTGCTCGCAAACGGTGCAGCGAGTGCAGTCCCAGGGAGTCCGGGCTGGGGATGAGCCTGGCAGGATGCTCACGGGAAGCAGGCTGCCTGCTCCTGAGGACAAGAACTTACCCTAGAAGAGCACATGGGTGGTGCTTAAACCCAATTAGAAAATCAGATTCATGTGGTCTTCACCAATTGACAATGCCCTGAGATTTTGGAGGGCTGGGTTTCTGTACGGCCCCTCCCAGCTGTAGCTCTGGCAGGTGAGGGGCAGCAGTGGCTGGTCCTGCCCTCGCTGGTTGTCGCCATGTCGGGACATGTCCTTGACACCTTTTATTACAGTGAGCTTTGCTGGAAATGACAAAATCCTGTTTTTTTCATTCCTTTTACTGCCTCCTTCCATAATTTCATGATTTTTCCAAAGTGGCCTGTCTGGCTGAGAGGAAAGGGAAGGACCTGTGGCCACCCAGGTCATGCTCCAGTCTGCCTTCCTCGCCTCGAGGTGCATCCTCTCCCTTTTCTCTTGCCTTCAGCCCTCCCGCCCTGCCCGGCAGTGCCCAATGCTGGTGGCCGTGCCTGGCTGCTGGTTTTCCCTCTCCCGCAGTACAGCCATACACATTTTCCCATGTTCAGCGCTTCAGTAGCTAAAGGCTCTTTTCCTATTTTTAATAAACCCCACAAGGCCTGATGAAGCTTGGTGATGTTTCTCACTTCTCTCCAGCTTCTTGACCTTTAAAATAAAGGCTGCTTTGATCAGTTCCTCTCCCCAGTTTTGGCTTCACTTACGTCCTTTGCAGGACGGGTGTCTGCCCGTAAGCGAAATCCTTCCTAAATCTCCCCCATCTGCTCGGAGCAGGCGCTGCTGACTGCTGGCTTTGTGCGCCCAAGGTTGCTCCTGTGGAGAGGACGAGCAGGTCCCTCCCCCTGCCAGGATCTCGAGTCAACATCTTCTCCTTTTCTTCATCACCAGCGCCTCTGGTCTTCTCCACTTGCTGTCCTCTACTCTGGGTGTCTCCATAAGGAGCTGCCACGTGCAGATGGGGTTCGCTTGGATGCTTGGGGACAATGTGTGTTGTGCAGCTTCTTCTGCCCAGGCAGTGCCTGGGCTGCCCTCACCCACCGTGCCCCTGCTGTTGATGGGGAGGGCTCCTGCGGGGATGGGGACAGGGAGGTCCCCCACACCCTTGGGAGACACGAGAGGCTCTCAGCCCCACGGCCATCCTTGGAAAGAGGGGTCCTGGGGGAAGGATCCTGTTATCATCACCTCCGTGCACTGGCCCGGGAGCCAGCACAGCACCAGGGCGCAGGGACCTCGGTGCCGGCGCTCAGGGGTGTCCCTTGCCTTGCAGGTACATGGTGGACGCTGCCGACCAGGAGAAGATCGAGGCCTCCAAGAATGAACTGCACAACCTGCTCGACAAGCCGCAGCTCCAGGGCATCCCGGTGAGTAGGTTCCCCCCAGCCGCTTGCGGTCCCCAGGCCGGCGGCTGCCTGGGTTTGCAGTGAGGGGTTTGCATCCTGCAGAACAGATTCGGAGGGCGGATCCCCTTCCTTGGGGGGGATCCCCTTCCCCGCTGAAAAAATGGGGAAGTGAGGCATTCTAGCCCAGGGCCGGGCCAACCAGCAGGGAAGGGAACTTCAGAAGAGACCAAAAACTACGGCTAATGCGTGAGATCTGTCTTCTTGCATGAATTTGCACCTGATTTATGGTGGGCCACTGAGGTCTTGTCTGCTTGGAGAGTGGCTGCTGGGCTGTGGCGGCGGCACTGGGCACACGCTGGTGCCAGGGTGGGATGCTTAGGGAGCACCCAACATGGGCATCCCTTGAAAGGGGCTAATCGAGGATCTTGCTCAGATCCCAGACGTTTGCTGCCAACTAAATTAAGCTCCCGACATAATGCTCTGCATTCGCAGCCCTTCTGAGTGCTCTTTTTTGAGGACAAGTCTCCAAGTTTAGATTGGGGGATGCTGCGTTACCGTGCTGCTGCAGAGGCCCCAGCTCACCCCGGGAAAGCGGCCGCAGCCTCAGTGCTGTCCTTGTCAGATGACAGTCGCGTGGCATGCTCCGGAGGGATGGACGAGTCCTGCCGGGTGGTTATTTTCCTTGAATAGTCTGAGGATGCCTTTGTGGATGTGAAAAGCCTTGAAGTAAGGAGAGATCAGTGGATGGTGCAAACAGCCGTTGCTTTTTTGGGCTGGCTGCCTGCGGAGATCAGGTTCTGCACAGCATCCACATCTTGCTCGTTGGGTTTAGCCATTTCACTTGATTTTTTGCTCAAAGACAGCAAGAGGCTCCTGGGAGAACGTCCTAGATGGGACGAGAGCTGCTGGTGCCCTTCAGGGAGGATGTGCTGTGGGGCCAGCTTCTCACTGGGACTGCAGAGTGCACAGGGGATGCTGTGTACGGGCTAAATTAAGGCTGTTAATTGAAGTACTCTGCCTCCTGATTGCCCACTGAAGGGGTTTTCTTCATCTGGGCACACCCAGGGCTGTCTCGCCTCTCAAGCAGGGTCCACTTCTGGGTGGCAGAAGCAGGTTCCCACCTGGCCTGGTGGCCAGGAGCCTCAGGTGTCCCCCCTCCCCTTCTGCAGGTCCTAGTCCTGGGGAACAAGCGAGACCTGCCCGGTGCCTTGGATGAGAAGGAGCTCATTGAGAAGATGTAAGTGTGCCGGTGGCCCGGGCAGCCGCGTTGGGGCTGTGACACAGTGTGACCCCCCTGTCCCTGCCGTGTCCCCACTGGCACGGTCACACCGACGTGCTCTGCCGGGACCCCTTCCCAGCCGGGGTGGCATGACGGTGCCTGGGGTGGGCTGGCAGAGACGGGTGGCTGGGGACATCCAGAGAAGGTGGCCAGCAGAGGTGACTCTGCACCTGTGGGGACGGGGAGGCGCTGGGAGCCGGCGGTGCCAGGGCTGGGTCCCGTGTGCCACACGGTGGCGTCGGGGCCCGGCCCGGCACAGCTCAGCA